AAGATGCAGAACATCATTACCCCCAAACCAACTGAGCTCACTCCCATAACGTTGATACGGACTAATAGACAACCCTGCAGGACAGAGCAGAGCAGCACCTGTGAGTTTCAGAGACTGTACATCTCCACAGGAGTAGAAAGCCTCATCTTTCCTCTCAAGGAGTGGTTGGTGATTTTGAACTGCTGACCTCATGGTTAGTCTCTCTCTCTCTCTCAATCATTTTATTGGGGGGCTCTTATAGCTCTGAGAACAATCCATACATCGATTGTATCAAGCACATTTGGGCATTTGTTGCCATCATCATTTTCAAAACATTTTCTTTCTACTTGAGCCCTTCATATCAGCTCCTCTTTTCCCCCCCTCCCTCCCTCTCACCTTTGTGATCCTTTGATAAATTATAAATTACTATTATTTTCATATTCTTCACATCCGCTTTCTCCCTTCACCCACATCTGTTGTTTGTTCCCTGGCAGGGGTGCTAGTGGTGGTTATAAGTCAATCACTGTGATTGATTCCCCTTGTCTCCCCCGTCTCCCCCCACCTTCCCCCTACCCTCATGGTATCACTACTGCCATTATTGTTCCTGAGGGTTTTATCTGTCCTGGATTCCATGTGTTGAGAGCTTTTATCTATACCAGCCAGTGTACATGCTCTGGTCTAGCTAGATTTGTAAGATAGAACTGGGTCATGATAGTGGGGGTGGGGTAGGGGTGGGGAAGGAAGCATTAAAGAACTAGAGGAATGTTGTATGTTTTGTGGGTGCTATACTGCACCCTGACTGGCTCATCCCTTCCTTATGACCCTCCTGTAAGGGGATGTCCACTTGTCTACAGATGGGCTTTGGGTCTCCATTCCATGTTTCCCCCCTGCCTCCATTCACCTTAGGTATGATTTTTTCTGGGTCTTAGATGCCTGATACCTGATCCCATTGACACCTCATGATCACACAGGCTAGCTGCTTCTTTCTTGTGGGCTCTGTTGCTTCCCTGCTAGATGGCTGTTTGTTTAACTTCAATATTTTAAGATCCCAGATGTTATATCTTCTAATAACTTGGCTCCATCAACTTTCTTCACCACATTTGCTTATACACCCATTTTGGCTTCAGCAATTGTGTTGGGAAAGTGAGCATCACAGAATGTCAGATTATTAGAATAAAGTGTTCTTGCATTGAGGGAGCACTGGAGTAGAGACCCAATATACATAAATCTATATCCCTATCATGTTTAATACATTTACATATATACATGCCTGTGTTTAGACCTCTATAAGTGTCTTTTGCTTCCTAATTCTTTCCTCTAGTTCCTTTTACTTTCCTTCTATCCCACTATCATGTTTGACCTTCATTCAATTCTCAGTAATTCCTCTCGGCTACATCAACTTGCTCAAACTCCACCAGGCATTCTACACCCTCTTAGCCATCGATTTTTGATCTCTTGTTCCCTTGTCCCTGGGTTTGTTGGATACACCCTTTCTTTCCCCGACATCCCTGTCTCCCCTGTCCCTCAGAACCACCGGTCCCATTGTTTTCTCCTCAAGATTGTTTATCTTGCCTATCTTATAAAGATAGACATGAAAAAAAGGAAGAAGAAAGAAAGAAAGAGGCCTATAAATAGTTCCAGGTCTGTCTGCTGACCCTTATGTATATTTTCTGATTGAGTATTATGAGGTGCCAAGCCCTGTCCTCCGAGTCTGAAGTCTATTTTCGGGGTTCCTTGAGCACTTCGTTCCCATGGTGCTCTGTTGCACTCCCTTTGTGTTTATCCCAGTTGTGGGAGTCAGACTGGAGTAACCCATCTCTTAACTCACTATGCCAACACACTCATTCATTAGTCATTAGGGAAATGCAAATCAAAATTACAATGAAATACTACTTCCTATCTACTAGGATGGCTAGAATAAAAAAAGGCATAATCACAAATGTTGATGAGAATATAGAGACATCAGAGCACTGAAGGGAATGTAAATGACACAGCCACACCTGACAGCTCCTCAGCATGTTAAACACAGAGCCAGCAGATTCCACTGTTAGATCTATTTCTATGACAATGAAAACATGTCCTCATGAACACATACATGAATCGCAACATTATTCATAATTTCAAACATTCATAAACTGATGAATGCATAAACAAAATGTGATATAGCCACACAGTGGAATATACAGCAATACAGCACTAAAAGAAACAAAGTATTGATACATGCTGTGACAGGGACGAGCCTCAAAAATGAAATGTTGAGTGAAAGAAGCCAGACACAGGATCTTTTGTTGGATTCTATTTATATGAAATGTCCAATGCAGGCAAATTTGTAGAGACAAGAGGTAGATTAGCGGTTGCTGAGTAGAGGGAATGAGTGATTGCTAATGGTTCTGGAGTTTCTTTTGAGAGGCATGAAAATGCCCCAAAGTTAAACAGTGGTGTTGGTTGCATGACTGTGAATGTACAAAAAAAAACCCCGTTGTTATATTTATTAAAAAGGGTTATTTGTGTACCATGTGAAAAGTAGCTTTATTGAGCTTCTACGAGCTTCTATCTGTTCTTAAGACACATCTTCAAAATTAATCTCAAAAGAATAGAATTGGTGGGAGTTGGGAGAAATTCCTCAAAGCAGTCAACATTTCAAAGAGTGAATTAGTTGTGTTCTCTTCATCTGGGACCTGGCTTAAAACAAAACAAAACCTGCCCTATGGTCAGGGTCATATGCCTCTGGCTGGTTGTCCAGTTCACAGAAATTCTGAGTACTTTCTTTGTTCTATAACTTATCATTGACAACACGGATCTATTTTCTGGAGCCCCCATAGCTGCATAATTGAAATGTCAGAGAGTCAGCAAATAGGCTTAAGAAGTTGCTTTATCTGCACACCAGAAGGGTTTTAGGGGGGCTTGTTCTATGCAACTCTTGTTAGCTGGAAATTTTATAGCTCATAGATGAACAGGGGCAATGGGAAAACGATGAAGTAATGCCATGAGTAATGCCATGTCTGGAAGTGTGTCTGCACCAGGAGTCTGTAGACAGATGACTCTATGTCTAAGCCTGACTCCTTCTTGTCAGTAACCTCAAACTCACTGCCATGTCAATTCCAACTCATAGAAGTAGAACGGTGGATTTATGAAGCTGTAAATCTTCACAGAAGCACCTTTTCTCCCTCACTCAGAAGAACCAGTGAGTTCCAACCTTTGACCTTGCAATTAGCAGCCTGTGGTAGTTACATAATTTCTTGTCAGCTTGAAGATATTAAGAGTGAAAGGGTGGAGTCTAGCTTGTCAATCAGGTCACAGCCTCATGATGTCTCTATGTGGGTGCGGCCTTCTCAGGATTCTGGGAACTTCCTCTCTTTCTCCCGGGAGGTGGGCCACACACTCTCTCTGCTTTACCTTCCTGTTGACAAGCTGCATGGAGCCACACTGATGGCAGCCAGAGCCCTGAAGCTGGAGGAGCCACATGGAGCTTCACGCCAGCACGGAGATGCTTCCACCGCCACTGGATCCACAAGACTTTTCACCCACTGGCCTATGATCTTCCTGCATTCGGCATCATTGCATGTGTTGTGTGAGTCTGAAGAGGAATTTATAGACTAGTATTGGACATATGGGATAATATCAGACTTCTGGACTTGATCTGGACTGGGCTGGGATGTTTTCTCAATATACAACTGCTCTTTGATATAAAGCTCTCTCTTACACACACATCTGAGTGTCTCTGGATTTGTTTCTCTAATCAACCCGGACCAACACACAGCCCAATTCATAACCCAGTACACCACCAGGGCTCCTCAGGAGAGAAGGAAAAACCTTGCCCTTCTTCTTACAGAGTTCTCCCACACAACCATGCCCATGAGCCTGCTTTGTAAAAACAGAAGGAGGGTCATAATGGAATGTCAGACAGACTAGGAGCTGTTCCAGTAACAAGTCAAGCTTTGAAAAGTGGAAATACTTATCTGGCTGGAGGAGAAATATATAAACTCAGTGAAGAGGTGTTGTCAGGAACGAAGGGGAGGCAAAGAGAGTTTGCAGTAATTGATGATTATTTTCCGAAGTCACTGATCAGCAGTTGTCCTATGTTAGCACCAGGTATGATGGTTTCCAAGGCGGGGTTATTTTAGTTAAACAACAGGGAACTATGGGGACCCTGCAGGGACATACCGACAAAGGCCATTGGAGGAGGGGACGAACCCCTTGCCCATAAACATCCTTTGGATCAACCTTATGTGTTCCAGGTTCTTGTAGCTCTCTGACAGACGCTTATATTCTCATAACACCCCTTCAAAACTAAAAGGGGTGGGGGAGCTATTATTTTGTGTAGCACAAGATCAAGAAGTAGTTCTTAGAGCCTTTCCCTAAATTCTGCTTAAGGTGGGAAGACATTGATGATAGTGAATCAATTTTATGGTGTGCATGTTTCACATCTTATCCTCTTTGAAATTGTGATGTGTTTTACGGGCAATGGCATCTTACCTTTATTCTTTCTGTTTTGTAAGATTGTGCAGCTTAAAGTCAAGGACATCTAAAATTTGACGCCATATGGTAAACTAGATTAGTCATTGAATTAAGAAAGAGATTGTCTATTCATTCTTTCCTCATTGCTGTCTGTTTGGCACACATGTTGAATGACGGTGTACGTCTGCCTTTGCATCACATCCAGGACTTTCAGCATCACCTTTCTCCAAAGTCAACGAAACATATTTTTGTCTTTTCAGGATTTTCATTGACAGACCACAAGCAGATCTTACATCCTCAGACCTTGAACGACACAAGGTGCAGTGGAATCTCCCGCCCTCCCTCCCCCACCCCTCCTCTTCCTCTAGCCACCAGGGTATGGCTGCCACTGGAAGCTTTTCTGAAATCATACTCCGTATAGCTATCACCTAGCTCTTCCCACTGCTCTGCCTGGTGGTACCTCTGGGAAGAAGAGAGAAGCATCCAGCTGCCTGCTTTTGATCGATTATTTTCTAGCTCTTCCTGGAGTGGGACCACAGGCTCAATGACCTGTGAAGGTCATTTCAGCACTTCCTTTCTATCTGTCTCCAAGGCTTTACCTTAGGTCAGAGCCTTTACTCTCATTCGCCCCGCAGACTACTCTGACTGTTTATAGCTGATGGTTCCTCTTGTCTGAGATGGACAGAATTATCTAGCAGGATGCAGTCTTTAACAACATGAATGAGGGGAAAAGCAACCAAGAATTGTACCAACAATACTCAGCCATGGCCCCCAAGTTGCTGGCCCACGTCTCCAGACTTCTCATGATCTGCAGGAACTCGGGCATCCATGTACCCAAGGGCATCAGGAACATTTTTGAGTTCACGTGGGAGGAGCTCATCAGCGACCCAATGGTGCCTACCCCATCCAATATCTTAGGCTTGGAGATCAATCTGGGACCACCTTCTACCCTTGTGGAACTAGTCCCCATGCAGAATCCCACTCAGAAGAAATCATCACCACTAGTACCACCACCACCACCACCACCACCACCGCTACTGCAAACATCCACAAGTGCAAGCAAGCGCCCCTTCCCCGTTCCTACGCAGACGCGCGCAGCAAACACCGGTCAGGAGACCCTGCACAAGTTTCAGCGGCAGTCCGTCCACTTGCTGACAGAGCTCCTCACTCTGAAAATGAAGGCCATGGTGGAGTCTGCATCGGGTAAGGCTGCGTGTGTGTGTGTGTGTGTGTGTGTGTGTGTGTGTGTGTGTGTGT